TGGGCCTCCTGTTGAATACACTTCATAGGAAAATCGTTCAAACTGTCCTAAATTTAGAAGTCCAGGATAACTTAAATCTCCAGGGACACCGTGATATGTAGATAAGACTACATTCAGTGTGAAAGTGCTTATCACAGACGCAAAAAACGTTTTCCAAGTCAGGCTTTGGTTCCAGAAACTAGTTCCTTCTTCTAAACTGAAAAGAACTCCCCCTGAAATAAAATATTTTATAAAATCATATTTATTTTATATATGTAGGTAGATACTTACCTACTGGTGCCCCAAAGGCTGCCGAAACGCCAGCAGCTGCTCCGCCAGAAACAAAGTCCCTTTTTTCATGGTCCTCTCTAAAGTACCGAAACACATTGAAGTCCTTTCGGCAAGAAGTACTTTTTCCTTGAGATATTCCTGCTGCAACTACTGCCCCCGAGTGAATCATTGGACCTTCCTGTCAAATTGTAAAACATATAATTAATATGAGAAAGAACATATATTTTGGGACTTACTTTACCACCGGCCAGTCCTCCCACGACTGAACAAACAACTCCAATGCTTTTAACAACTAGAGTCTTGAACCTGACAACATTTGGGACTTTGACACCATTCAGATAGCATTTAACTTGTGGAATTCCACTGCCAGCAGCTATAGGCTAGTAATATTTAAATTATAAATTACATATCAATATTTACTAACAGTAAACTTACTTCAACGTAAGCCACTAAAGTAGCCCCAATAGCAACAGGTATGATATTGAATAATACATATAAAAAATAAGGAATGTACAATTTGTTGCCCTGTGTTATGTACTTATCCACATCTGAAATACCACATTAAGGAAAAAGTTTTGTTAAAAGTGCATACCATTCATAAGAATGTAACATTGAATACTATTAAAAGGATACATCTACTGAGAGTTCCATATTTAATGTAGGAAAGTTCTTCAATAGATATGTCAATAATACAAGCAACAAGAGCAGTGCAAATTCCGATTAATAAGAATGTAAACCAACGAGCTACATTTTTGTGAACAACATATCTATATCCTTTCTTCCTTTCTTCATCCAGCATCAAATGATTCTCACAAATATCATAATCCAGACTCTTAAATTGTATGTTTATGTTTAAAAAGAGATAATGCATAATCAAATTGAGATGTTAAAAATTTACCTCATATTTTGCTGAAAGAACATTAAGTGAGCCTGGTTCAAAACTTTCCTTTATACTTGATCTTCTCTTATAAGATGATGTAAGATCAGAATCTTCATTTAATGTATTAATAGACTCATCCTGTATAGATGGCAAGTTCTGGAAAACAACAGTGGTTAAATAAAATAAAATGTGCATCTATATTAAGTATATTGCGTTTACTCTAAATGGTGTAGGCCTAACATGATTTTCACTTTGTTCAGCTTCAACATCCACCTTTTCTTCTTCACCATTCTGTATCATGCTGTTATTGCTGCACTATGTAACACTTCGTTTTTTATAATACCATGATACTGGTGATAAAACAATGAGTAATCCTTTCGAGGAAGTTTAGGGAAGTACATCGATATAACAATGCATTAATTTCGGAGTATTTCAATTCTGTTTTTTATTGCTCCCACTGAAATTACAAAGATAGGGAAGATATTCGTATTTCAACATTTAAAGAGTTTAACATGTATATTGTAGTAAATCTCTTTTGTGTGTAAATAGTTAAAGAGTATTAATTAATAACAATAGTACATAGCGATAAAAATATTTAATAATCTGTGACGTGACTGATGACATATTATATTTTGACAAATCTGACCTTGACCTACTGTTAATTTCTGCGGACATCTATTGTAGCTACATCAAACTACATGTGCTATCTATTAGTAACTCATAGATAAATTAGCAGTAACCTGTTAAACTGACAGTTGTCAATTGATTGTCAGTTTATAAAATTGTGGTATTTTGCGTTAGTCTACTACATTAATAAATGAAGTTAAATAAATAATACTTGATTATCTAATCCATAATAAGCAATTAATTAGGCCCCATTTAAAAATAAAACTATGCCAGATCAGCATCCTAGAAATATCATAGAAAAATTCTTCAACACCGTCAGTGATGTATTGGAGGCTCCAGTAGTATGGGTTAGAGGTAAAAGAAAACATTAATACCCACAAGACGGGCCTATTTAATTTTTTTTGTTTTAAAAATTCACCATACGTTCCTGTATAGAAAAGATAGTTGTTCCCAATCAACAAAAGTACCCATGGTATCATCAGAAGTTCCGCAGAGTCCCAACAATTGATGAATGTTATACAGATGATCCTATTTGCTATTTTGAAGCTGATGCGCAATATAGAAGAGACAGGTAACATTTGTTATGACTACATTATTAACTTGAATATGATTATGTAACATGCCAATAGAAAAGTCGACAGTGAAATTCTGAGTATCTTAAGACGACGTTTTGAAGATTGTGTTCTCTACGAAGCTCCTGATGACGCAGAAAAATGTAAACCCCTTCTTGATACCCTGAATGAAGCTACTACCAATTGGTTTATAAAGTGTAATTAATAGCAAATACATACATTTCTGTAAATATGCGTACTTAATTTTACTGATTGTAGATGGAGATTTGGGAGGATATCATAATGTTAAAGCTGCTTATATGAAACAGAAACATCGCCTCATTTGGGAACGTAGGCAGAAGGCAAAGGAAAACGCAGGTGGCATATGTTAGAAACTAATTGAATTCAATTGTACCATAAATTTGAATGTAGCTTTGTTGTTTAATAGTAGTTTTACAGTAATAAAATTTAACTATTAATTTGGGAATTTTTCTAAATATAGTGATAAACATTTTACAAAATAGTAAAATTTGTTTATTCAAAAATTATCCGTTTTTTTTTTCATAATAAATTGAGCAACATCGAAATGTATTCACATGATTTAAAACTAATCACATAAAAAACAGTACAATAGGGGTAACTACTAGGACTTAGACTATATAATAATTTAAATATAATACTTAGTCATGTGTAAAACAAACCAAAGTACATAATAATCACACATACAGAGCTTAATTAATACCTTAAAAAATCACACAACAGCATTACACAGAATCAACTATTATATATATATATGGGTATCGATCTTATTAATGTCAAAAAAATCTACTAATGTGTGCTAACAGCAACAGCATTATAAAAGACAAATTACCCACAAAATGACTCACATATCGTGTCTTAATAACAGGTACGCACACAATAAAAGACAAAATTAAAAACGAAAGAAAAGCCTCTTGCTCTCACTCTAATTTTTTTTTCACTTTTTTCCTTTAATATAATAAGTACTACTGTCTTTGTTAATCTTATTATCACTGTGACCAAGCAGCAAATTTTAAAGAATAATCGAAATGCTATCCTTTAAAAATTTGGCACACGATCAACACGAATTAAAATCAATCGATGTGATTTTGGACTCCATGGGAATGTACATACATTATTTATATATAGATATATTTATTTATTTATGTGATAAAACGGCATATGCATTTGCAAAATGAATGCCGTTAGATCCATATTAGTTTTGCAAAAGGCAGAAATGCAGCAGACATTCATATTTCTAAACTATAAAATTAGAGATTGGTTTGTACTTTGTTTCATTTTGATTAACAACAGTTGCAGCATTTTTTTTTTAATGATCCATGCTCGGAACATCTGCAGAAGTTATGAAGGAGAAACTGAATTAATTTATTTTTAGAAATACCCCATTCAATTTAATAGCACATATATCAATTTGAGTAAGCGCAAAAAATATGTCAAATCACTTACCCTTACATTCCATTTCCAAATGTGAAAACGTATTAACACCTGAATCATTTAATTCATCCTCGTAACAGCCTGAAACAAAAAATTAATAAATTTAATTGTGTATTCAAAGGTGTGTAGGTATTACTTATTTATTAAAAAAAACTTACTGTTTTCAATTAATTTGTTGGGCATGGGAAGCTGCCTGGGATGTGGAGCCGCAATCAACGGGATAACAGATCCTAAAGGATACCTGTTGGCAGATAAAAGGCTCCTAGTTGGGGAAATGAGATCATTGGGATCTGTCAACAGCTTCGGAGTTTGAAAGGGGGGCATAGGAATCGACAAATTCTAAGGAAGTAAATAAAAAAAATATATTATTGCATTATTTTTTCAATTCAAAACAATTAAAAACATATCAATAAATTTTGACTTACAAAATCATGAGTAGGTTTTGTAGGGGTTTCCCACACCGAGCTCCAGGACGCGTGATCCTTTAAAATAAATTATTAATGTATATTTAACGATTTAGAAGTAATGTTTGCGTAGTTCCTAGGTACATGCACCGTATATAACAAATTAAAGGCTTCGATATTCTACACTCATTAAAAGTATGCGGGACAATTGGCCAGACAGCTCACGTGTGCGTACAATACCTTTTTTTTACTTGACATTAGGTAAAATAAAGTGACAAACAATCGGTAGAATTATATTTAAGTAGATTTAAATATATAAATAAATAAATAAATAAACTTACGTCCATATTTGGTGTGTCTGGTTTGGGGGGTGTCAAACTTTTCGTATTGTTCAACAAATCGTGGGGTAACGGAGGCGGAGGCCAATTTGTAAAATTACCTTTGCCCTTTGCGTCTTTCGTTTGGTCCTGATGAAATGATGGCATCACATCCAGACCATACACTACAAATATTACAATAAACAATTGTATTGTACTTAAAATGTAAAAAAAAAAAAAAACGATGTGATTACCTGCCAATTCTTTATTTAAAACGAGACTGCACTTTCGTCTTGATTTACGTAACACAGCGACGAAGTTCAATTCGTTTAATAGCCCTTCCATTGAATGAAAATTGTAATCGGTACACTTTAAGGGTCTGCCGTACTTTTTTGCATACAAACCGCTCAAATTGTTTAGAGGAATCAATCCTTTGTTCTCCTGGAGAATGTGATAGATTTGGGCAGCCAATACGTACAAAGGCGTCAACGTTACCATTGTTTCATTACTGTCACTCGATAACTGCAGAAAAATTAAAAGGAAAAAAAAAAGTAATATGACGATTTAAATTAAACAATTAACACATATACGAGCTCTTAGTTCAAAGATTTAGAGGTGTCTGTCGAATTTTATATTTTTTTATAAGACACTAAAAAAAAGTTAGGTATGATAAAAACTTACCTTTACAATTGAATTTAATTGTTCGAGTTTGGACATGGACAATGTGCTATGAAAACGCACCCTATAGCCCTGGATGAATGCGGAGATTTTCAAACAATGTGGAGGATTTAATAGCAAGGACCAGACTCTTATTTCCAACATTTTGTTGTTTTCTTGGCGCATCAGGAGCAGCGGACCAGCACTGTTACTGTTCACGACCTAATTTAAAAGAAAAATACAAGTGTTACAAAATATTCTTCTTTAGCATCTTTTAGTGTACCTCAATTTTTTCGTTAAATCTGGAAATCAATTCGTTGATATCATTGCATTCATATGCCTGTGGCTTAAGTGGATAGCCATACTCCTTGAGAAATGCAGTGTTTACTGCGTTAAGGGACATGGAAGGCATTTGGGAATTTTTTAGAAGATCAATTATCTGAGATTCGAGCACTTTCATCGCCAAAGGCAACAGAAGACTAATCTTTCGTTCACCGGAAGGCAGTTCTTCGACCTGAATAGAAAAAATATTCATAAATAAAAAATGGCAGTTTTAAAAAATTTTACGTACTTTTACAGTGTCCGGAATTGCTTCAAAGAGCTCGATAAGTTTTGTAAATCCGTAATCTGAAACTTTACACTGGTGCCCGAAGTGATGATGATAAGCTGGCACAAACTTGTTAAAAAGCATGGAACAGTTTGGTGCATGTTTCAGTAATTCCACAACCTTTGAATCATATTTTAATTAATTCAATAACTTATTATAAATACAATTTAATATATGCACTTATTATAATGTACTTACTTCTGAAGCAAATTGTTTTGTTCGTGCTACTTCCTCCGGAGTTTGATCCCTCTTTGGAATCGATATTATCATTTGGCCGTTGACCCTATTATAGACGACAGTATTGTCAGGCACTTCACTTAGAAGATCTTCTAACATACAAAGGCCATATTCTACGGGATTAAAGGGCTTGTTGAGGGTCTTCTCATAAGCAGAAGGAAAATCACAGAGGGTGACCTGTTTTGACTGCTGACCCTTCAGCACTCGCAACAAATCTGTGGTAAAACGTCTTGTTTGTGCAATATGTGACAGTGTGAGCATTCTGCTAGCGCCTTCACCTAAAATCTTAATTGCAAAAAAAATTTAATATATAATTAGAATAAAACAATTACAAAATACCTGAACCACATGGGAAAGGACTTCAAAGAGATCCGCTAACTTTATAAAACCATAATCAGCAACACGACACTGTCTTCCAAAGTGGTGATGATAGGCAGGAATAAATTTGTTCAAAGGTAGCTGACACCTGTCGTAAGTCTTCAACAAGTCTATAAGTTCACGACAAAGAAGACTTATGTTCGGTATAAGCGATGGTGACACATACTTCATTACAGAGTCTTCGGCATCTATTTCATTCGTTTCAGTCTTCAACTGTAGGTATTTAATGTTTTTGTTTGGGCCGCCGTATTTCAGTTCCACATTTTTGACGCAAGTGACCAGGTGCTCCAGTGGCACTCCCGATTCGTCTGTGGGAAGGGGCTCACTTAGCTCCGTTTCGTAACAAATTTGAAGACTGTAAGAATACAATAACATTTTAAAAGGAAAATTAATTATATATACCAATTCTTTCCTCCTATCAGTCATTGTGAGCTCGAAACTGTTAGCACCATTACTTCGAGTTGTCGAAATTCACTTTTATGAACAATTTATTTAATCACTTTCTGTGTTAAAAATTGTTTGAAAAACGTTTCGATTCTTATTGTTTATACTTATGCGCTTTAAATCATTGACATCAGTAACAACAATAGTTAGAGAGCAAGAGTTGGATTTTGCCCTGTGCTGAAAGCACTCATATTTGTTTTTGTATATATAATTAAAAAAAGATTTTAGCTCTACGTTTATTCGTATTGTCAATAATCGGCCATTTTTATTGCTCCACTATGACGTAGTGTCGGCCATCATTCTTTTCTAATTGTTGCCGTTGTCGGCCATCATTCTTTTCTAATTGTTGCCGTTGTCGGCCATCATTCTTTTCTAATTGTTGCCGTTGTCGGCCATCATTCTTTTCTAATTGTTGCTGTTGTCGGCCATCATTTTTTTTCAATTGTTGTCGCATTGTCACTGATGTCGGCCATTATGGTTTTTTAATAGATGTATTGTTTATAAATAGGTATGCAACACATCGTACACTTCAGCATAAGAAATTACTAACATTCATTTACGTAATAGTACTTTCCCTTGTACTGACAGCACTCATAATTTCTTTTATATATAATATTAAGTGTATAATTTGTTTTAAATAGCAAAAAAAATTACCTTAGTAAGGGCAATATTCCTGAATGTGTTGTAAGTAGCGTGTAAATTTTCGAGGAGAACATTTTCAATGATACCTTTACATTTGGCAATTCGATAAGATCTGCTTCTCCCCAACCTCTCTTCTCCAATCCATTTGGACAATGGATGCAGCAATACATTGTCAATTCCTATATTTAAAAAATAAGGAAATAATACATTTTATCAGGACTGAAAAAGGGTAAGGCATAATACAAAGAAAAGCGCAGGGTAGAGTTGCTGTTAACAAAAACAAATCACACAAGGTGACTAGAAGAAGTAGAGGTGTAGGTGTATTAATAAATAATGACTAACCTCGTTCAATTTAGGCGTGGGAGAATTTCTCATTTCGGGTAGTAGCATGATCATCCTTCCTCCCTGAGTGTCTGTTATTCTACAAATTTCCCTGAGCTTGTAGAGATCAGATACTGATACGTTTGTACGATAACGCGTTTCCAATAAAGAAACGAATTTAAAGAGGGGCATACGATTCCCGGGTACTTCCTAATAAAAATTAAAAACGTAATTTTCTAACGACCAAAAATTGTCATATTACCTTGAGCAGAGACATAACGAAAGTCCTCAGCTTAGAAATGTCGGGTCCACTGGTTTGTGCGTACATAATAGTAATCCTTCGATGTCCCAACTTTTGCCTGTGGAGTTGCGAGATGGCAAACTGGGCCTCCTGTTGACTGCTGACCCTCACAGTGGCAACAGGTGACCCGTCCGCTTGACTAGTAATACTCAAATTCATTACCATCACAAACTGCTTTAGCATATTGATTAGAATTTTTCGCAGTTCCTTTATTTCAATTGCCGGGTCCAAATTCGTAATTATGAGATCAACACATTGGGACTGGGCGCCCCCTTGATTTGTAATGTTAGAAGACGAAATGCTGCGCATTAAATTCAAAGAGTGACCGTTACCAGATTTATTGAGATCGTCTTGTTGTTGCTCCTGGAAAGACAAAGAACCAGCACCGGCCATTATCGCCCCTTGAGGGGTCTGACAACGCCTCTCTAGTGATTTCCGTGGCTCCAACGAACTCGTTTCCATCAAACCCAGGCCTCTAATTGGACGGAAAAATGCCTGGGGTGGTTGACGTGGTGTTAAAAATTGTGCCACGGTTGATAACTCCTTTAAAACAATAATAATAATGTAACAAAGAGTATTAATTATTGCAATAAAACATTTGTAGTGGGTTCGATCTCATGGAAATTTTTAAATTAAAAATAATGTTTAATAAAAAACTTGAATCATTAATTTAATCTAACTGTATGTCTACGTGTAAAATGAAAAAAAAAAACATTTAAATGAATCATACCGAAAATAACGCAATTACAGTCTTGTCTTAAGTCTCGAGTTTTAAATTTTGATGTTAAGTCACTGTTCAACTCACTAACAGTGGCAACCCAATATTAGAATTTAATGTGAAACCTTTTTCCAGTTAAAAAACAAATAAACTCTTTGAAATCTTAAGGACAGACAGATTTTAAGGGAGTAATTCCTAGTAACATTAAGGGCAACTTACAGTAAATTCAACTTAGTCTACAAAAAGGCACTGTTGTGTTACTTTTGGAACAATTTTCCTTATGTTAAATTATAAATTACAGGAAAATCACATACCTGAGATGAATCTTCTGATTTCCATGTATTGCTTTCTGTAACCGTTTGTTGTGTTCTGTAAGAAGGGATATCTTCTGCCGTTGTTATGTTTGGTTGCGAAGAGGTGTAATTTGAGATTTGGTAAACTGCACTTGCTTCGCTGCTTTTTACTCTACGTCCTGTACACAAAGGAGAAATGTAACATAACAATAAATTTAAAACGCAACAGCAAAATAATTTGAATGTAATAAGTAATACAATACATTTGTTAGCTTCAAACTATTACAGAGCACTTCTAAAAAGTTCTTTTCAACATAATTAATATTTACAAATCAAAAACACTTTTGAAGATATATATATAGTTTTNTTACCTTTTCGAGTTGTTATAGAATTAATTAATTTATTTTAAAAACCTAAGAAATATAATAATCGGGCGAAAATTGGATTTTTAACTTTAGAAATAAAACAAGAATCGTAATAATAAAATAAAGACAAGATAAACGATTTAATATCTGACCTGTATAACTTTTAAATGGCGACTCTCTAGCTGCTGTTGGATTTGAAACATTAATTTTGTTTCCAAAAACATCCTCGCCCTGCATGCGCCTTTGGGCCCTAAAATAATAAACATCTCGAAATTAGCTGAATACCATTTTAATTTTTAATAAAAATTTGTCCTAAAGGATAGCATTTAAACACATTTTCGAAAATTAAACGAACCTTTCCTTGTAGTATGGTCGAAAATGAGCCATAATCTTGTAAAAGTAGATACAACCCGTAATAAAAAAAACAAATATTTTTCACAATATTCACATAACAAATTATTTATTATTAATTAATATAACAATACAACAAGCATTACTTCTTGGAATCTTAAGCAACACTGACAAGAAAGCCCTTCAAACTAGTTTTTTTTGTTAGATGATAGATTATTTTATCAATTTACAAAAAAAAAAACAAAAAAACACTTTTTCTCCATAGTTTGTTCTACACTTGTGTGAAATTAATAGTTAGTTAGCATAAATGATAATATAAAGTAAAACAAACACTTCAAATTCAAGAAAGCTTTATATACCTTTTGGCAAAGTCAAGAGAAGAAAACCTGATGGTTGCTTGGCCTAATTTGTTTAAATTAACTACTCGACCACCACAGTTGTTGCAAAGAAAGTGGAGCCTGTTTTTTATCTTCCCAATGTCACAATTCAGCGGTAAATTTGTGACAAACAAATCCACTGGTTGCACAGGACAAATCTTAAAATACACACAATTTTAATTAATCATAATTAAAACGTTAGGAGCTGTTTATTACCTTTGTTTTATGTTCAGGTAGGTTTCCAGTTATAACCGAAAAGCTGTATGTTTCATTTGCACATAGAATAAGAGCATCTGCAACATTTGTGTTGTGAATTAAAATAACATGCATTTTCTTACGGTATCTAAGATCTGAAAGGTCAGCAGCAAAGTTGACATCACTAGAAATTAAAGCAACAGCAGCTGGGGCTCTATATATTTCAGCAAACCTCCTCAACGACTGTCGTAGCTTCTCGTCAGCTGCATTTTTACTAGTGGATGAAACATGAATCAAATTTACCTACAACATATTATATGCAGTATATTATTTAACCTCAAAAATAGTTTAATTACAATACCTGAGAATCGTTTAGTTCTTGAACAATCTGTGAACTTTCCTTTTTAACATCACAAACGACAATAAACTCGGCTTCTCTATAATTAGAAAAAAACAGTTCCCTTATTCGCTGGACTACAGATGATGCACTTTTGTTTTTGGGCACTTGACAGTTTTCGATGTCCCAAAACACTCCAATAGGAACTAGGCTTTTTTGTGATTTTCTCTTGTTTCGTTTTCTTGTTTTTACAAACAGTCCATCACTCACGGAGGCATCTGATTGTTCACTTCGACTACAGGATGAGTTCGTAATGCTTCTACACAACGGCGGTTCCGAGGGGGCCCGAGGAAAAACAAAACCTTTCTCATGGAAACTTGCAAAAGCAAAGGCTGTTTCAGTATCCCTACTGTTTCCATCATCTGAGGTTGAACTAGATTTTTTAGAATCTAGAGAGCTTGAGTACATGTCCTTATTTACTGTTCTTCACGTTAAATGTGTAAATGATTTTCAGTCAACTTAAAAAATAATAAAACAGCATTCACTGATCAATTTAAATCACTAAAAAAATTGTGCATGTTAATTAAAAACAATTTAGTTTTATTATCACTACNAATAAATTATAAAACCATAAAAAAAATCCGCATTAATTGTGACTGAGCCATTTATTTAAAAGCGTTTTATAGTGTTTTTCTGAAAGATTGTGCCCTGCAGGATTTTCTAAGATAATAGTGCCCTTAATTCCGTTTTCAGTAAAATTACGTACTTTACAAAAAGGTCTGGTATTAATAAGGTTTTTATCAATTTGTTTAGCAATATTAGAAGTCCGCAACACAAAAACCGTCTGCTCAGAAAGCTTTGGTATTTGGTCATCGGTCTCTATTTTTCCATTTTGTGTCCACAGCTCAAAATCTTGGTAAAGTCCGAAAAGAACATTAACAGCAGCCTTTAGTTGTTCCAAAGATAAAGTTCTCCCTAACACTTCCAACAGTATAAGGCCCTTTCGGCTACCATTTCCATATCGTGGCTCAAAATCTTGAAGATAAACATTAATCCATTTACAAACAGGTGTTTCAGTTCCATAACCGTTATCTTGAACTGATTTCAACGTTGACTTATCACCGGTAAGTAGGAGATACAGTTCACCATCTTTTAATTTTTGATTTTCTTCGATTATAAGTTTTAATTTGGGATCTCGTTGATCCAGAGGAACGAAAGGTGCTTTTATGGAGTTTTCTATAAAGTTTTTGTGGGATTCTGCAATACGAGACAAATCTCCATCGACTTTATAGAAAACTTTGATTTCGTCTGTGGGCACAAGTTGAGCTTTCTTTCTAAGCTTTTGGATTCGATTAATAATTTCTCGGGCGGTTCCTTCGTCTTGCATGGACTTGTCTGGGGTCGTGTCCAATAGTACAACTACCTGATTGGCACTGGCCACCTCATAGTTGCTAAATTTATCGCTATCTGCCTTAAAAATCAATCGCAACTCAGACAACTCGATTCTGTGCCCTGCAATAATACCAAAACCTTCTTGTTGAATCTTGTTTATCTCCGTATCTTGAAGAGCCTTTATGGCGATGGTAACGGCCTTGAAGTCCTGTTTCAATCTAAGTCCTAAAGTTTTGTGATCAGGTTCAGCTCGCAAAGTCACTCCATATTTACTCTTATCGGTTGTAGTGGTTAATTTACGTACGTTCACTTCTGATAGCACGTATTCTTGGAGGGAGAGGACGTCCTTGATATATTCCTCGTCTCTGTGGACTACGACAAGTTCCGGTAACGGATATTTGACTGGAATTGTCCTCCTATCTCTCATTACCCGAGCAAGTTCGATTACCTCTTGCATCCCAGAGATGGCGCGTTCTGTGTCCTTGTGGATGAGGCTGATGTTCGGTTCTGGCAACGGTAGGTAATGGACACTGTCCGGAATGGACCTGGCAATCTTTTTCAAATACTGATACATCGTTTCGGAAAGGAAGGGCGTGAAGGGAGCCATCATTTTTACCATGTTGAAGAGCACGTTGAAGAGCGTGGTGAGAGCGCGTTTGCAGTCTTCTTGACCTCCTTCACCCTTCAATCGTTTTCTGTTCATCCTTACGTACCAATTGGTAAGATGATCGATGAATTTAGTGAGTCTTGGGACGACGTTGTACAAGTGATACAGAGCCATTTCTTTTCGTACATACTCAAGAAGAGATTGCGTAAAAGATATGATCCAACGGTCCATTATATTGTCACTGGAGAGGTCATTTTCATTATAGATGAAATGAGTTTTGTTTTCTTGCACATAGATGTCTAAATTTTGCATGAGAAATCTGAATGCGTTGTACCAAGGTAAGAAAACGTCTTTCACGACGTCTCGGATTCCTTCCTCTTTAAATCGTAAATTCTCAGCTCTAACAACTGGAGAATTAATAAGGTACAATCTTAGTGCGTCTGCCCCGTATTTATTGACGACCTCCATGGGATCTGGGTAGTTTTTCTTCCTTTTAGACATCTTCTGGCCGTCGCTGGCCAAGACGAGACCATTGACTATTAAATTCTTGAAGGGAGCTTTGCCAAAGAGTGCGCTTGAAATGACAATGAGAGTATAAAACCACCCCCGAGTTTGATCGATGCCTTCCGCTACAAAATCGGCAGGGAAGCATTCCTCAAACTCTTTATTATTTTCGAAGGGATAGTGCTGTTGGGCGTAGGGCATCGAACCCGATTCGAACCAGCAATCGAAGACTTCGGGAACACGTTGCAGCGGGGGATTCCCAGGTTTTGCTGATGGTATCGTTAAATGGTCGATGCTTTCGCGATGCAAATCGGTGACCTTTGTACCCGTTAATTCTTCTAACTCTGCTATGCTACCAATGCAGCGGACCTCGTCGCCTGATGGTGATTTCCATATAGGTATCGGGGTGCCCCAGTAACGATTTCTGCTTACAGCCCAGTCCCTTGCGTCCCTCAGCCAATTACCGAATCTTTTCTCTTTTACAAAATCTGGTACCCAATAGGTGCTGTTACTGCTTGTCAACAGACTTTCTTTTATAGTTTCAACTCTAATAAACCATGAAGGGACTGCTTTGTATATCAGGGGAGTGTCCGAACGCCAACAAAACGGATAACTGTGTTTAATCTGAAGAAAATAGCGTAATGTATATAGACTTATAATACAATAAAATAAAAATTAATCATATACCTGAGACAAATGCACTAGTCGATTATTGGCCTTCAACATTGCTATAATGTTCTTATCTGCATCTTTGATATATTGTCCTTCGAAATCAGTAACAGGTTTTGTCAATCTTCCATTTGCATCTACAGGACATAAAGGACTCATGTCTTTAGTAATTACTCCGTTAATTAAGCACACCCGGTAATCGTCTTCGCCAAAGTAAGGCGCCTGATGTACAACTCCTGTACCACTGTCAGCTGTAACATAATCATCTACAAATACTTGGAAAGCCCCCTTTTCCTGCATAAATTTGAAATATGGAAACGGAGGCTCGTATCTTAAGCCTTTCAATGTGATACCATTGAATTTTTGTAAAATTTGGTACGTTTCGGGTTTGAATATGGTTTCGATACGACTTTCAAGCATTATGTATATGTTTCCTGATGTAAGATCTTTAAATTTGGCATATTCCAGGTTTGCATTGACGCAAGCAGACAAGTTGCTGGGTAAAGTCCATGGAGTTGTCGTCCAAATTAAGAGTGCAGCCCCTTCTTTATCACCTATTATTGGTAAAGAAACAGTGAGTGCAGGATCCACAACGTCCTTGTAATTTTGACCAGATTCAAAGTTACTCAATGGTGTATTGCAGGCAGTTGAAAAAGGCATCACTTTATTGCCTTGGTACACCAAGCCCTTTAAATACAGTTGCTTAAAAATCCACCAAATTGACTCCATATACCATGGATACAATGTTTTATAGTCATTTTTAAAATCTGCATTAAACAGATACAATAAAAACAATCAGTGTCATATAATTTTTTAAGTTATTGGAATTACCTATCCAACGCCCCAGTCTTTCAGTAATAATTTCCCATTCTCTAACATAACGGGTGACAATCTTCCTGCACTCTGCATTGTACTTATCAATGCCCAATTTTTCAACATCTTCTGGTCCTTTGATGTTCAAAGTCTTGTCAATTTCAAATTCTACAGGTAACCCATGACAGTCCCAGCCAAAACGGCGTTCAACGTGGTAACCTTGCTGACAAGCATACCGTGTTACAATATCTTTAATGGTTCCTGCTAAGACATGTCCATAGTGAGGAAGACCCGTTGCAAAAGGTGGACCGTCATAAAATGAATAACTACACAATAAGAAAAACAAGATATAATACTATGAATACTCTAATAACGATGTATTTTACATATACAATAATTAATAACTTATTTCAGCCATCATTATTAAAGAAGATAGGTATGTACTTTAAATAGATCTTTTTAGAAATTATGAATTGAGAAGGCAATTGTTATGTTTTTATACATTAATTACAAGAAAAGTTCGACATTGTTGCTATATTAGATAAAATTCCACCTAATAAGTGCTGACTGTACAATATTTTGTTATAGTATTGCATCATCAACTGATATTAAAATAAATAATAAACGCTGATATGTTGAAGTTTTTCTAAAAGAATGTTAAATTAAAAATTGATTATTCTTTGAAATAGATGCTAGTACTTACCGTGGCTTTCCTTTTGACTGTTTTAAGCTGTTTTGAAAGGCGTTAATTTTCTGCCACAATTTTAAGACTTTTTCCTCTTCTAAGGGAAAATCAACAGTCTCAGAAATGCGCGGTATCTCTTGAACGTTTTCGTCAGTCATTATTTAAACTATCTGCAGAAAATATACACTTTTTATTTCAAATAATGGTACTTTTTACAGTACCATATGAATTTCTTAACTACGACAACATAACCTCTAATTATACCGCACATTGTGATTCTTTTCCTTCTTCTTATGCTGCTTCGACCTTTGAGCTCTATGTCATTTAGCAAAATACGCGTTTATCGTTAATTATAATAAAGTAATCAATTTAAATAAAAACGCAATTTCAAATATAAATATCTTTTGGAAATGTTTAAAAACGCTCTTAAGTACTTCATTTTTAAATCTCAACCCCATAACTTGCCCTTTTGCAATGAGAATTAAAATTCACCAGGAAGGTACTCTTTTACCTTTTTTTGGTACAGAAACCAATTTAACAATAAAACGTTTAAAAGACTAATAAATGAAATACACTTTAATTTTACAATCTTTTTTATTTTGTGTAACTCCATACAATAGAGTGTGTTTAATTTAGTTAATTAATTGATTGATTAAGAGAAGTAATCGCTTTTTTTATGAGGTGAATTGTTTAAATATTATATCCTACATTACCATTTTAATTTAAAACAAAGACATTAACAAGAAAAAATAACTATAAACTTTCTTTACGAAATAACAAAATTCCGCAATTTAAACAATGAAGCACATCATTAATACAAATTTGAATGAACTTTAGTTTAAAAAGTAATTTATGTTGTAGATAGTATAATAATGAAAAGCATTTTAAATCAATATTACTAACAATAATAATTGAGAACTATTTCTGTAATGTAATAACACTCTACCTATTTTTATGACAATAACACAAATTACTTAATAATCAGCACTACGATTTAGAAAAGAAATTCAAAATGATATATAATAATAGCTTGCAATTTAATCTCTTTCTCTTTCCTTCCTTTTGTCACTGGAATTCGAGTGACGAGAATGAGAGCGACGTTCGCGATCCCTACTGCGAGATCTAGACTTGTACGAAGAACGACTTCTGCTACAGTTATTTAAATAAACAAAATGTTAAATATTTTTCAATCAGTCACATCTTATAGTTGACTTTTTGGTTTAATTATTCGTATACTTTCATACCTGCTGCTATGTCTCTCGTCCCTATCCTTGTCCTCACGACTGCGATGACGGTCTCGGGACCTCGAGCGATGTCTCTTAGATCTTCTGTCTAATTCTCGACCCCCCACGTAATGTTCCCTGTTCCTTTCACGATATCGATCTTCACGATCGTAATCCCGATCCCGATCCCTCAACGCTTTACGTCTTTCTTCTTTACGTTTGTCAGAAGTTTTCTACAAAAATAAATAGAAAAAGTTAATTAAAAAAAATGTAACAAACGAAAATATTTACTATTACCTCCAATTCTGCCAATTTTTCGCGGATCTTGATGAATCCCAAGTGCAGTTTACCCCCGAAATGGTCGGCCAAACGCCTGTCATTGTCATGTATTCCCAAATATGCAGAGCAGACCTCGCAGACACGCAATTTCTGCTGTTGATAACTGCTTGCAGGCATTGAGTTACGATACTCTTGTTCTGCTTCTAATTTCTTCTTTCTCAACTCATCAACCTATGTGTGTACAATAATTAATAATTAATTTGTAATATATAAAAGGTCTAAAATAATAAGCAAACAATATTTACCTCTTCCATAAGCTTCATGCTTTCTTCTACAAATCCCTCTTCACCTAACTGTTCAGCTTTGGCCAATTTTTGTCCAATCTGTTCTGCCAATTCGTGAACAACGTTAGCTTTAGCTGCAACTTCTGCAGTTAGTTCCTCCTGTGTTTCTGCAAGCCTCTGTTTCGCAGCCTCCGTGCGACGATCGCAATCACTTATAAATGCTTGAAGATGCTCCATTGCCTTTGGGAAAAACAAAAATTATTTATTCATTTGATACCATTGGCGATTAAAAAATAAATGGATACTCACATCCAAGTCATAAAAGTAATCCTTGGACTTCTGTGCCTTTTCAAAGTCAGCCCTTAGAGCTAAGTCGTGTATCTTGGGACATTCTCCCAGGTCCATTCGCTATTAATTCAAAAACAAAAAGAAAATGATAAAAAACGTAAACATTACAATCTCGCTTTAACAAACTACAGGATAACGTTATCATTATTTCCTTAAGGGCAGTAAGTAATTTATAAACTGATCAGGTTGTTCCCAGGAAACAACAAAAAATAAACACAAAAAAACATACGCCTCCAAAGAACTGTGTCGATAAATGATTAATTTTGATTTTATTTATTATAACAGACGGACGCTTTCTGCTTCCTTAATATATCAGGTGCATGTTATTATTTTGCAGATAATTATAGAAAATTATTATTAGTTTAATAGCAAAATAACATAAAAAGTTGTAAACCTGGTACCTAGCATGATGATAACAAAATTCTCTTATGAAATATAAACAATAAACTTACAATCAAATGATTTAATCCTTATAGGTAATGTAAGACACACACAACCCCCGACGAAAATGGTGAAAATTCCTAAATGTATTTCAACGTTCTGGCCTCGTTGAAAATTATGACTTTATATTATTAGATATGCAGATACATCACAAAGAAAACAATATATATAATATATATGAAAATATATAATGTAGGTAACGCACCAATAGTCTAGAATGCTCCAGGGCCTCAATACTTGCATATATTATACATTTATACTCACAAATTCCTGCTATTATGGAAGGACAATTTTGAATTTGCATCAAAAGAATGCTGCTACAATTTAATACAAATAATGAAACAAAACTTAAAGATCTCGTTTGGTCAATGTTCGTCTCACATGCAAATTTGATAATAAAAGACCAATGTTACAGCAGCATTACAATTATTAAGAAAGGATTAAGTTCTTGGATTTGGATCTTATTAGATCTCATTAGCACGCCTTAGGCAGTCTCAATGAATTGTCGACCAAACCGAATTCGGCAAGAACTTAATATCTTCTTATTAATTTGGTTTACGTGCATTTGACGTATTTAAACTGCGTCGTCGATTTAGTTGGACAAGTGGATGCCATTTAAAGGCTCTTGTCTTGTCTAACATTTTTTTTAATACATCAGTTAGCAGCACATATCAGTAGATAGCGAGATACTGCCGTAACTCGATATTAAAATTATTGATTGATTGTATTTATTATTTTTACTTACCAATGCCCCACATTATAACGTAATACAATATAAGATCATCACGTAATTTATGATGTTGTATGTACCATACCTTGTCCCACAGAAAAGTGGATAAATAAAAACGTTGGACTTATAATAGTAAAACGGCTTATCCTCTAATACAACGAATTAAAAGAAAAAAAGGTAAACAGTGATGAGCAATTAAAGTATTATACATATAAAACCTGGTCACTTTATTTATAAGTCCAATGCTTTAAATATTAGGCTGCCTATCAAAAGTTAATTGACAAATTATCTGTCTGAATAACTATTTAATTAAAATCAATTTAACTTATTTAATTAAATTGATAGAGAATACTTTCTGTATACGTACGTCGTTGTACTTACATACAAAATTAACACCTATCTTCATGTTATAGTAATAGTAAACTGATGTTTCTGAAAATATATTTTGAATATTAGTCTACCATGGTATCAAGACAAAGATGTTTACGCGATACACGAAAACGATTTATTATTTTTTTATGGCTATTAATAAAAAAAAGTAAACAAGTAATCGTCTCAATTTGAAATGGAAAAAAAGCTACTAATAAAAAAATACTTCATTATTTGCAACTTACCGTTGATGAGAGGATTTCATGGGGACAGCAACTAAGTAAAAATGATTTGCAGACTTTCGGATCATTGAACTTAACATGAAATTTGTTATTCTCACCTGCAAAACGAATACATATAAGAATATTATCTATCACGAATTCGACATTTAATGGAACTATTAAATACTAATGCAACAACACCGCAAAAGTCTCAAAAATGGAGAAGAAACATTATCCATGACTGATAATTAGGTAAGCATTGACTTTTTTGTAGCTTAATCTTTGAATATCTTACTTATGCAATTATAGTGGGCACGACACCTTCTAAACCTTTACCAATGCTTTTCTGGTAAAAGCAATCTCACTGATTAAGTAAATTGAGTTTCCTGATTAATTGTATGTAACGTACTCACCATTTCTTCCTGTTCCCATCAGCTCGTCCAACATCGCACGCATTTGATCGTGCGCCGTCATTTTGTTGTTCCTTTTGGACGAAATTTTTAAAAGCTTTAATTAACGGACAAAAACTTAAAATTATTTTCTTCTTGGCAATTCGTAAGGAGAACAACGGTAAGGCCGTTCAATTATAAAAATGGCGTCGCATGCACAGAAGACATTTGACGTTAATCTATCAACTGCGACAGCTTTTTAGCGCGTGCGTAAAAAGACGCCATCTACTAGCATATGATAAAAATAAGAATTGCAGTAATTACAAGTTTTTCTAACTACAACTTGCATTTAATTAATTATTCATCAATGATAATAATTAAAGATATGAATTTGTTAATTATAATTCATTAATGAATGTTTTCGTTTCTCCAATGAATCAAAAATTAGACAATAACGGTGGGTTAGGGTGACATGAAAGATGGGTTGCCTATATTACAAAGATATTGGTTTATTTAAATTTAAATTAATAAAATACCATTAATTCAAAAATTTGCAAACTAAAAGAATTAAATAAACTGTTTATATTAATGCAGTGCATAATATAACAATCAATAGATACTTTTAAATACTTTATTTCAATTTAAAAAAAAAAACAAAAAAAATGAATTTTAACAAAAAAGTTATAAATAATAAGTTTCACCTTTCGTCTAATTGAAAGACACTGCCAATGGTATTTTGATATATTAATGTCTCAGGGTCTTGTTGAGCGTTCTTAGCTTGATAGTTTTTTACTAAGTCAATAAACGTTTCGTCGAAATTGTGTCTCGGAGTTTTACCATAAAAATAGCTTCGAATTGTATGCAAACTTGGTAGTGGAATGATGTTGGTTTTCCTTAAAAATTCGTACATGGAAGACGACCTAATGACAACTGATGCGCAAAACATCAGCCACTCCTTTGAATACCTCCGACCTCGAGGTTTAGCCCTCGAAGTTTCCAATATCTCTTTTAAAGTCAATCTGTAGTTATTATGAACGTTATGTTCCAAAAAGATATTTTTAAACAGCATCTTATAATTAACGGCAGATTGTAATTCATTACTTCTTTCAGATACTTCCTTTAATAACATTCTTTTCTCTTCTACTGCATTTTTTCTTCGACGCTTTTCACGAGCGAGTTGCCTCCTCAAATTGTTAAACATTTCTTTAGTAATTATCCCGTTACGGGCAACTTTATTAGACCTTATGGAGATAATACGTTTCAATTTTTTGCAAGATGTGCACGTTTTCATTCGGGTTAATAACCAAGGGCAATTAGCATGTCGTATACAGTTTGCAGAATCCCTTAACACTTCGGAGTTTTTTATTAAAGAAGGGTCAATTGGCCCCAGGCCTTCACACACATTCATCGCCTCAAATATGTTTAAACTTCTCAGTAATATGTCTGTACTGTGAATAACTTCTGGCAATGTTATAATATCTTTGACTTCATGTCCATAAACAAAATAACTGGCGTTCTTTCCTATACAATCGAGTAACATGTACTTCTGAAGTACTTCAGTTTGCCGTTGGTCTATCATTCGAGTAATTACTTTCGTGAGCAGCAAATATTTCTTATTCTGAATCGTTTTCTCGGTAGCTCCCCATGTTTTTGGTAGTTCAAGACTTTTAGGATCAATATCTAAAATAATCAATAAAACAGTCAAGGAATTAGTTGGTAATCAAAGTTAGGAAGGCAAAACGTCAATAGAAATACTTACTAACAGCATTTGTACAAAATATTGGTCTTGGTAAATCATGTAAGGCATAGTTGTGTTCCACAGCATAGGTTTCTGGGAGCGATTCATATAACTTAGAAGTATCTGTAATAAAAAGGTTCACCTTGTAATATTATAGAAAATATCATAAGTACATAAGAAGAAGACGAAAATATCGCATACCATCGTCATCTTTTGTCGTTATAAAGCTTGTTTCCTTGTTATTACGACCATTTACGGGATTTGTAACGGGATTTACTTTAATATCTTTAATAAAAAAAGAGAATTATATTATTTTAAATGTAGACTAATAAACAATAATATAATACTTGGTTGTTTACACGTATTATTTCCAATATTATAAATCTTTAAAGAACGCCTTCGTGCCATGATTTTGAGCATAGTTGCTAAAATAGAAGCGAAAGATTTAATCAAAATCCTATTAATAAAAAAATGAATAAATATCATTGTCATTAGAAAAACTCTAATACGTTTATAGTCATTTTAGTTGAAAAAGTAACTAATACCTTTAGGCACTTTCTTGAGTACTCCCACAATTTTATGATTTCGTTTATCAAACCCTGCATTTTGGATTATCTTGAGCTTTGGTGATCCTAAGCAAAAGAATCATTATAAGTATGAAAAAATAAAAAATAGAAATATTTGTATCACTTAGAATACAATAACTAGAAATGGTGTGTAATCATGATTCGAGCAATTTATTTTACCTAACATAAACTACGAAGAACAAAGGCCTGGAATGGAACTCCGGCCTTCCAAGTGAGCGTTCTACCACTGAACCCGCCGATACTTCTTGTAAAGTTCATCTAACTCAAGGTGTTTTTTACTGGTATTGGTATTAATTATAAATTTATTTAGACTAAGTTTTACCTGCCTTAACGACGACATATAGAAATTATTTTTGTTTTGTGTGCACCTATGGCACAGTACCTTTCAAATGATATACGTTTCATTCCCCTTCTTTCATAACATATAACGCAAAAACATAAAACAAACTTCGATGTTCACATAAAAGTATAAAGATTACCTTCAGATATATTATTCATATTGTCTATATTTCTTTTACTATTATTTCCAATGTTCTTTGCATTTTCAGTTTTTGCCATTTGAAGAATCCTATTATTAACTCCATTGTGATTAACATCAACTGTTCTTGTAGCTATAACAATATGAAAAGACACAATAAATGTAAAAAGTAACAATACCAAACAAATTTTACCTGAAGGTTGTAAATTACTTACAAAATCTTCTCTACTTTTACAAAGGCTTTTTATGTCAGATGAATCTTCTGTTTTCATTTCTTCTGCTGTAACATACATCTGGTACATTTTCTATATAATCTTAATTTTCATTTATAACATTTATTGATATATGTGGATTGTTATTTAATCCTAAGTTTTACCTTCGGTTTTTAGCTCTAGAAATAAAGGTGGCATATCAGAATCTTTAAAAATTGTTGGCACTGCGCTTTTATGTAAATGTCGACGCTGGTATACTGACTGTAAAATAAAAATTACTCAAGTAAATTAATGTGTAAACTATGATTTCTAAATATTTATATCAATGCCATAAAAAGCAAAGAAGTGTACTAAGGATAAATACAAAACATATTTACTTTGTAAAGTATATTTCCATCAACGTCTTTTTGAATAAATTCCTTAATAATACATTGTTCTGGGAAATGTTTTTCACAAATAACTTGTGTCGGTGTCAGAGATTTGATGCCAGGAATTGCTTTTATCCACTGGCTTTTTATCTCTTCATCTTTAGGTATAGAAAATAAAGAATATTTCACTCCCCTGACCTTTTCATTTGATCTTGTTTTACACCCAGGAACAACACACACTTTTGGCATTTGCACGTAGTTTTAAAACATAAACACGAAAACCTAACCAATAGCTTAAAATCTAAAATGCACCGAAATATATAACTAAATAGTGTATTTTAAAGCTTTAAATTAAGCTATTCGACTCTATTATTAATTGTTTTTTAAATGGCAACAAAATGTAATGCTTTTTATTATTCTTTTAAACAAGAAAAGTAGGGTTAAGATAGACCCACAGATAGATAGATAAACCATAGGTAGATATTTCTTTCAAGAAGCATATCTACGATAAATACTATTGATCTCGCTATTTTATAGAATCATTTAACCATACAAATGAATTAAATAAAAGAAGACTATCGCAGTAGTCAACTGTTTATTAATTCTGACGCTTTACATTTTATTTACAAATGCTACAGTTTGTTTATAATTATATAACAGGCAAATTGGTCCTCTTATGTTATACATATATTTGTTTCATATTTGAATCAGTTATTATAAACAAATAAAAAACATATTTGTATTCCAAACCTAATAATTTTGAATTGATTGCCCAACTACATTAACAACGTTGGCTGTGAAATTCCGCATTTGCGTTCTTGTCTCTAATTGACCGACCATTTCAAGTGACGCTGCTTCTATGGAAGGTTTATTCTCTAAATTATCTGCCTAATTTTTGCAAATATTGCATAGTAAAAAGCCACAATTTCAAAAACTTTTTGTCAAGACGCGTTCTGCTAATAACCCACTACATGAGGTATGAATTGTTTTTGTATTTATCAATGCTAGGAATTTTCTTACATATTTGTCGATTTGTAATGCTTTCAATGCATATATAGGCAACCCAATATTCATGATTGTGTTAAATAAATCTTTTCTAAATATCATGCAAAACGTACTTTATACTTATAACATTATAAAACTATTACTAATAACAATAATGTGAAACATTAGGGGTCTTTGTTATATTGTCTTTCGAATGCATTTGTTTTCTATAAAACTATAGGAATACAGACAAGTGTATTTAACAAATGATGGTATTTCACAGTTAACTACCAAAATATTTTACAAAATAATGTATTTTCATTCACTATCTATAACACAATTAAAAACTTATTAGAAGAATGAATATAATGATTGATAAATGATTTCCGTCTTGCTGATTATTTTCTAAGACAGTTTCGAATGTTTTACAGCAACTGAAATGAAAACTAAGATGCCAAGCCTTTTTCGATGCATTATCAGTATCTACGTGAATCAACTACGATGATTTGATCAGCAAAAACTTAAAACATCCTTCATTGCGACGAAAATATGACTCTTAGCATCTATGCTGAGATTCTACCCCTTTTCATCCCTCACATAAGGTAGGCATTTTACAGAAGTGTTAATATTAACAATAAATGAGAAACTTGATTTTTTTATCATTACATTTTACTATTCAATTGTTATATAAAACAAAAGAAAACAACGAAGAAGATAAAGCAATTTAATTATTTTGACAAAAGAACAACTTGGGGAACAAATTTTCAATTTAAAATTTTAAATTGGAATTTAACATAACTAAACTAAAATTCACTGTTTATGATCAACTGGATTTCTTAAATAAGTGAATGTTTACTTACGCTTCAAATTAATCTTCTTCAAACATTTTCCCAACTAGAGAACAACTTCGTTTAATTCAAATTTGAAAATTTTCGCGCCTACATCACAAAAGTTGGCGTTGAAAACCTCAAGTTTAATGCTCGTCTCTGGTTGGCCGGCCAATAATGGCTCTTTCTAGTGACGTCATCCTTACAAAATCTTCTGTTTTGTAATTATCTCTGCAAATTTTTGAAAATTTCTTACATTAAAAGTGTTAAAGTCTAAAAAATGTTTATCAAAACCCGTTCTTTTAATGACTCTCTAACCGAGGTATGTATTTTCTTATTTCGGCCCGAAATGATTTTCGTTATTTTTTAAGATAAATTTTCAACAATGTAACCTATGATGTGATAAATATTAAAAATGATAAAAATCGTAAATATCTTATTGATAACGAACTAAATTCGTTAGTTGTTGCAATCTGATATTAACGTAAGGATTTTTTAAATACATTTATTGATACTAAAATGAAAATTAAAAATTTTGATACCTACACCTCTTAATAACGATTTCAATGCAAATACATCCAAATTGCAATTATTCAATTGTGAAAATATTTTCTAAATGCCCTGTGTAACACCGACCTTCAGTTATTGTTTTACTGATTTTTAGACAATTTCTTGTGTTTTATAATCATAAGCAAGTTACAAAATTATCCATATTTATTTTTAATCAACCCAATTAAGGTTTGAAATAAGCAAATTAACAGTTTATTAATTGACCTTCTCATATTAATAAGTTTTTCGTTCCTTCAGGGGGTTCCCAGCAACAAGTCAGCCTTTTTACAGTGTGATAGCGATGGTGTCCACACATTGCCCTTATTCGGGAGGAGAAATGACCTCTGGGTATAATACACTTTAATCTATTACAAAAATCTTTAGTCATGGTTTTTTTTTTATTTTCCAGGTCTTTTACTACAGTGTGCTTAGTGTTAATAGTTCGATCGTTAAAGTGCATTTCAATGATTTCGCGTAAAGTTGGTGGCGTTCGCGGTCGGTAGTGAAAAGTGAATGTCTGTGATGGAATGGTATGGTATGGTCGACGGTTCCCCTCTTCAATCCACTCCCCCCACCCCCAAACACCGTGGAGAGGATGAGGACCCTGGACATCCGACGCTGGATGAATTAAGGTTTCGGTGAACCCTGCCAAGGTCTAGCCGACGCCTAAAAGTAAGTCACTAACGAATTTTGTTTCAAATAGACCTGAGTGGCAAGCGTTTGTATGTATTCTGACTTTTTATTGTTTTGGGGCTCATTTGATTTTTGCGCCCAATAAGGTGAGTTACAAACTGTAATTCAGCGTATTATTGGGCTCCACTGGTGGTCCATTATTTACCAATCGCTCCTCGAGTTAGGGACCGACGTATGCAGGTGCTGCGCCTGTGACGTCAAACTTTGTTTCTTATCACTTGGCTTTTATGACTATTAGTTGCTGGTTTAGGTCCTACACACCGGATTATACTTCTATTCTATATATCAGATGCTGTGTTTTGATGCAATAGGTTCGAAGACGGAGAAAATTTAAAATTGTGATCACAATTACACATAGAGGGTGTTTTGTCCACGTTGTCGTTTGGGTATTGTGTTCCACATACGTACACACCATTCACCTACACATACTTTTTTACATGTTTATTTTATATGTGTGTTTACTTGCCATTCGCTGGGTCTATTTGATATTTCTTTCAGCCAGTGTATTTTATTTAACAGTGTAGTGAGGATGACAGTGTTTCTGGAGTGTATTATACCTTCTTCCGGTATATAGGTACATCAGTGGCAACTGGCGGTTCGCGAATCGGTTCGAATAAGTTGGGGGACATTCATAAAATACGTTCGCAAAAGAGGGAAATGGAGGGGCACTGCTTGGCGTGACGAGGGGGAGGGGGTCTAAAGAAATGTGACATTCATAAATTTTATTATATTTTTTTTTCTAAACTTGGCAATTCTTAATATTTTTCATTAAGATAGAAAGTCATTCTCATTGCCTTTTTTTTTAATCACAAGAAATCGTTTATAGGAGAGGGGCTAGCTTTTGCGAGGAAAGGAGAGGGAGGGGTCCGAAAATGTTGAAATTCTCAGTGGCGTATTTTACAAATGTCCCCTTAGCGCCAAGTTAAATGATCAGGTCAAAACCTATTTTTATTTTATATTAATTATTTATTTATTTGTGAGAGACAATTATAGTTTACAAAAATTATTCTAGTCACTATTGCAAGAGATACTTCAGAAGAAGATTAATTGTAATGCATCTGTATTAACTAACTTTACACTTAGTCTTGAGAAAATCTCCCCCCCCCATATGAGGGCGAAACGGTGGGAGGTTGTAATTAAAAATAGCTTTTGACCTGAATTGGTTCAGTGTTTTTCCCTATTAAATCAATAATCTCTTTTTACTTTAATTCATTCAATTCTTAATTTGATAATAATCACTTTTGCTTAGCAATGTTTAATTACTGATATATGTAAATCTTTTTAAAAATCAGTACTTATTGTTAGCAACACATTCCAAATTTATAACTATTAATTATTTACTTGGTCGTTTATTTTTAAATTTTGCCATTTACTTTCTTCTGTTGCGATATTATTAGCATAAGCGTTCGTTTAATTTAATTTCGTCCTCGTCTGATTTGAATTACCGCCAGCGGGGCCACATTTACAATGTTTTAACAACACACAACACTTTTTACTTCAAATTTGTTTTCAATTTACCTTATGCCACTTTTATGTTTCTTAATTATCAGAATTTTAATCATCCTCAATTTTTAAAATCTCATTTCCACCAAAACATGTTGAATTTTTTGTAGACACAAACACACTCATGAACAGAAAACTTATTATTAAGTTTAAAATCAATTTAAACTTAATTACCCCCAACTTCGTAGGTAATGAAGTAAGTATACCACTGCCACCCTATCATGGGGTACCTCTTTTACATTTTACTAATCTATCTCCTTTTTTGTTTCAGCATGAGCGGTAAGTGAAATATTTTACATTCAACCAAATGCTTTTTTAAACGATGATACTAACATTATTACCTATTTTCTTTTTCAGCTGTTCTTGGACCGTCGTTCATGGATTTTTTCCTTTGGTCCATTCGTTCTTTCTCTTCTCTCTTCGGAAGAGAAAGAATATCTATCAATTACACCAATACAATACACATGAACACACAAATTGCTGCTAAAGTCGCGATCGAAGGGTTTCCCTCTTAAACGTTGTCACGTTTTTGTTTGTTTGGGGTGTTGTTGTTTGGATAAAATATTAATTCTCCGTCCTCTTTAAATATAAATAGTTTTGTCGTGGTTCTGTTGTCCCAATTCTCGATTCGTTACAGGCTGGTTGTATACTAATTTTGGGCAGCAGTCTCCTCAGTTCTCTATAAAAAAATGATTGGAGGGTAAAATTCTATGATATATACGCGTGTAATTATCTTCTAACGAATTAATTAATTTAATATACCTGCTTAATAGACAATAATTATGTTTATTTTCCACTATGACCGTTTCGCGACACTGTGACTTCATCAGGAAATGAATTGCAATCACTGATTGCATGTAACGATTATTATGTACTCTACATATTAATATTAGAATTTTTACCCTATTTATAGGTAACATATGAACATACCAGCGAAGTAATATTCTATTGGATTTTGTTCTAAAATAAATATATTTCTAGTTTTCCTTGAGGGTCCACAGAAGGCGTAAATTCTTGTAAGAAGTGCTTTTCCTAATATTGAGTGAGAAGTGAGAAGATTAGTACATTTTAAAACTTCAATGATCAACTAATTTGTTTAGTTTTTAATCACATCATTGGAATCCCTTATAAAACGAAGTCTTGTATTATTAAATTTTACATTACTAGAAGCGCTTTTACAAAACGCAATTCTTAAACGATTTTTGAAAGTTTCAGGTCCCCAAGTTATTTAGCGGAAGAGATATCGTCAAACCCCTTACGCTTTTTCAGTCGGAGTAAAATTTTAAGTGTTTTATTTATATATATAATTAATTTACTATTTTCCTTTCAGCAAATGAAAACAAGAAGTTATAAAAAAGATAATTTCACCATTCATCTGATTGAAAGTCATATCATTATAAGTATGAAAAAATAAAAAATAGAAATATTTGTATCACTTAGAATACAATAACTAGAAATGGTGTGTAATCATGATTCGAGCAATTTATTTTACCTAACATAAACTACGAAGAACAAAGGCCTGGAATGGAACTCCGGCCTTCCAAGTGAGCGTTCTACCACTGAACCCGCCGATACTTCTTGTAAAGTTCATCTAACTCAAGGTGTTTTTTACTGGTATTGGTATTAATTATAAANAATTCTTAAACGATTTTTGAAAGTTTCAGGTCCCCAAGTTATTTAGCGGAAGAGATATCGTCAAACCCCTTACGCTTTTTCAGTCGGAGTAAAATTTTAAGTGTTTTATTTATATATATAATTAATTTACTATTTTCCTTTCAGCAAATGAAAACAAGAAGTTATAAAAAAGATAATTTCACCATTCATCTGATTGAAAGTCATTATCACTAGCATTTTGATATATAAAAGGTTCAGGGACTTGTTGGGTGTTTTTAACTTGATAGCTTTTTACTAAATCAATAAACAATTTATTGAAGTTGCCTTTAGGATTTTTACCGTAAAAATATCTTCGAATTGTTGCCAAATTTGGTAGCGGAATTATATTAGTTTTTCTCAAAAATTCGTAAATGGAGGGCGACCTAATGCTAATTGATATGCAAAACATCAGCCACTCCTCTGAATACCTCCGACCCTGAGGTTTAGTCTTCGAAGTATCTAGTATCTCTTTTAAAGCCAATCTGTGATTATGAAGAACCCTATGTTGGAAACAGATGTTTTCAAATGACACCCCATAATTAACGGCAGTTGCTATTTCCTTTCTTTTCTCAGACACCTCCTTTAATAACATTCTTTTCTGTTCTACTGCAATTTTTCTTAGACGCTTTTCACGAGCCAGTTGCCTCCTCAAGTTGTTAAGCATTTCTTTACTATCTGAACCACCACAAGCAACTTTATTAGATCTTAAACGCCTTCTGGAGATTAAACGTTTTAATTTTTTGCAAAATATGCATGTTTTGTTTCTAGTTAACAACCAGGTGCAGCTAGCATGTCGTAAATAGTTTGCAGAATCTCTCAACACTTTGGACTTTCGTATTAAAGAAGGGTCAATTCGCCCCAATCCTTCACACACATTCATCACCTCGAATATCTTCAAACTTCTCAGTAATGTGTCTGTATTGTGAATAAACTCTGGCAATAGTGCCATATCTTTGACTTGGTGTCCATAAACAAAATAACTCGCATTCTTTCCTGTACAATCAAGGAGCATATATTTTTGAAGCAGTTCAGTTTCTTGTTGATCCATAGCTTGAGTAATTACTTTCATGAACAACAAATATTTCTTATTTTGAACTATTTTCTCAGTAACTCCCCATGTTTTTGGCAATTCAAGACTTTCAGGATCAATATCTACAATAGTTAACAAAATAGAAAAATATTAGTACTTATATAATCAAAAGTTGGGAGCCTGAAATTGCAAGAAAAACACCTACTGATAATGGCATTTGTACAAAATATTGGTCCTGGATAATCATGTAAACCATAGTCGTGTTCCACAACATAAGTTTCTGGGAGTGATTCCAATATCTTGGGAGCATCTGCAACAAAAAGTTCACTTCAAAATTTTGAATTTTAAAAAGGTTTGGGAGTTGCAATTGGAATATTTAAGAAGGTATTATGATAGTCAGTTTAAGTACAAACCTTATATACATATACAAATATAATATAATATCTACTTACTGTCATCATTATAAATGTCTTTTGTTGTTATGAAACTTATTTTGTTGCTGTTGCACGTATTTAATGAACTTGTAACAGGATTTATTTTAACTGAGGGCACACTACTAGCTTTGAGACGTATTCGCTTGCGCGAAACTGTTACTTCTTTCCCATCAACAAAATTGGACGTTGCATCCTTCAAGAAATCAGATTCTTTAAAATGCAAATCACAAATATAGAGGTCAGATATGGCTTCATTTTTTCGGTTTTTAATTATACGCTTGCTGTTGCCTAAAACTTCTAACCATTTTTTCCGCATATCAGGACTCTAAAATACATTATTATTACAATTTGTCAACGAAAATAAAGTGATACTCCATGTTCTCGTACTTACAGAAGGAAATTTAAAAACGGTGTTTTCAGATTTCTTTATCTCCTTGGAACTGGCATTTTTACAATTGTTAATACAACATACACGGGTCATTCTGTTTATTTTTAAGTGGGTACTGCGGGCACCGATGAAAAAATTAAAAAGTTGACAAAAATGTAAACAAAAATATAACCAATAAAATGCACGACATTTTTTGAATATTCCCATAGATAAAAATATTCCCTTGTGTCTATCTTGTATCTATGACATGTCTATCTATGTTTGATCATTATCTATGATTTGATCTATGTCCATAGGTAATAGATATACAAAGGTCTATGTCTATAACCGTTTGTGTATCTATTATCTATGGTCTACGACAAACTTATATCTATGAGCATAACCTAAAAGTTGTGTTTTTAAATTAAAGCTCTACATTTCAAATAAAATACAGTAAATAAGCAAAACCTTTATAATTCGTGTACTTTCTATTTTATTGTTAACAATTTTGTTGTTACTATGAGTATTCTTAAAAATGGGAGTCTTCTTGAATGTTGCAAAAACGGGATTTTCCTTTTTCGGCAATTATCTTCGTATAAAAGTGCAATTTCATTAGCTAATATGTACCCCCAAAGCAGTTTAAAATTATCAACTGTTAAACCACCACCCCAAAAAGAGGAGTTTAACGGTTATATTCCTATCGATGATCTTGTAATCACTTACAGTAGAAGCACAGGTCCAGGTGGACAAAATGTCAATAAAGTTAACACTAAAGTTGATTTAAGATTTCACTTGGAAACAGCAAAGTGGTTGAACGATAATGTCAAGAAAAATTTAGCAGAACAGGTACAAAATTAGTACATTACAGTTTTACAGTATACATACATACATTAAGTCTTGGTGATAATCGTGTGTTACAATTTAAAGCTGAGAAGTAAGATCACAAAGGATGGCTTTTTGGTATTTAAATCGGACCTAACACGGTTTCAACAAATGAATGTAGCAGATTGTCTAGAGAAATTAAGGACTGCAATTAGAGAAGCCTCAAAGGATAAATCCTCTAATATTTCTTCTGAAACAGAAGAATTAATTAGAAGAAGGTTGGTAGTTGTCATTTTATATTAAATGATATTTAGTGTTATTCTACCTCAGGAAAGAAAAAGCTGCAAGAGAACGTTTAACAATAAAACGACATCGATCTCAAATTAAAGCAGATAGACAAGGGCCAGAACTTACTGATTTGTAATAACTGTATTTAATTATCTTTTCAAAAAGTCATATTTTGGTTTTATGTAAATAATTTTTTAGATAAATAAAAAAAACGATTGTATTTGTGCTTTTAATTTTCAAAATAAGTATACTACAAAAAATTGGAAAAATGGATTTTTTTATATTAAAACAGATATTACTGAAGGTGCCTAATCAAGTTCTTCTTCTCCCATGGAGTTGTCAATAACAACATCATTATCATTGGCGTTTTCAACTGAAAGTGATGAACTACTTCGTTCTTCATCTTGTTCATTCTGTTCTGTATCTTGTTCAAACTGCTCTGCATCTTGCTCATTCTGTTCTGCACCTTGTTCATCTTGTTGGCCTTGATCTTGTTCTTCATCGTTTTTATCCCTGTTATTTCCCCTCATCTCTTCTTCTGATTTTCTGGGATCGATTGTTACAGTTTTTGTTGTATTGTAAGTTTTGTATATACCAATTAAATGATGAGCCAATTCGTACATATTAGGCCGTAAACTTATTACTAAAAACTGTGCATTTTTCGTTCGTTCCTAAAAGAACACTATTTTTGTTAGAAAAAGGGACACTTTTTTTTGTTTTGATTACCTTAATGTAATTGCCGATAATTGAGACGTTTTTAAAATCGAGGGCTGCATCGATTTCATCCATAACATACAAGGGTGAAGGTTTATAATAATGCAGGGCAAAGACTAAAGCTAATGATGAAAGCGTTTTTTCTCCGCCTGATAAATTGGTTATCATTTTCCATGCCTTTTTTGGCGGCCTGACGCTAAAGTACACAATAAATTACTCCATAAAAATATTTATAATAAAGGTCTTACTTAAACTGAATGCCTTCTGTAAAAGGGTCAAAACTATCTACCATATCAATGTCAGCATCACCCCCAAGAGTTATCATTTGGTACATTTCTTTAACTTTTAGCCTAATTAAGTTATAGCCTGCTAAAAACTCTTCTTTTCTTTTTGTCCTCACTAGCTCTAGCATATCTCGAACTTCCGTTTGTTTCTTTGACACTTCGTCTAGATCTTTGGTTCTACCCATAAACACATTTTGTAATTTGTAATATTCCTGTAGAATAAAATCACATAACCGAACAGTAAATTAATCGTAGAATCGCTCACATATTTATTTAATTTTTAAAAAAACGTTAAGCATTTTACCTCAATAGCATTTAGATTAGGTTTCACACTCTTCAGCTCTTTTTCGTTGACGTGAAGATCTCGTTTAACATTTTCAATGTTGATTGAATCTAATTCTTCAGGTGTTAGAGTCTTTAGTGGTTCTACGTTTTCATTGGGGATATCTTGAAGATGCAAATGAGAGAGCTAAAGCAACAAATTTATTATATTCATATTCATAACTAATATTTATTTTACTTATAATTACTTTAGCTCTCCAACCATGTATTTCTGCTTTGTGCTCGTTAATAGACTTTGTTATAGTTTTCAATTTTTGATCCACTTCTATTTTATCAGATCTTATTTGGTTTTCTTGTTTTGTTAAAGCTGCGACTTCTTCTTTTACGTCTGATATTGTTTTAAACAAATTACCACGTGATTGCTTAATTACAATAGTTGCATAAAAATAATACCTGTGTATTCCTCCTGTCCCTCTCCTAGTTTCTCAACTATTTCTTCGATACAGGCCAACAATTTTGCAGCATCAGCTTCGATCTCGTCCCTTTGGGCTTTCATTTCTTTCAAGGAGTTTTCTGCATTTTTGATGTCTTGTTCCATAGAAACGATATGGTCTCTGGACTTTACAGCATTCCTAAAGCAACCCAAACGTTATTATTATTATTACGTATTTTAGTAAAATTATTACATTTTACCTTTGTGCAGTTTTTATAGCAACACGCAACCGAACGACTTCGTTTTTACACTTATCATTTTGAGTGGCGACCTCTTTAATCTTTTTATCCATTGCCTTCATTTTATCGATGGTCTTCTCCTTAATTTCAGCAGTCAACTTGTCCACTTTCGTTTGGACTTTTTCTGCAGATGCAACGGCTTTTTCGTATTCTTGTTTCTTTTGTTCGACAATTTGGGTTAATTTTTTTACTTGTTCCTTGTCAGCTTTGCTAGACTTCATCTTTGCTTCCTGAACTTGGACCTGTTTTGCCAAATGGGGGAGTTGCTCCTTAAGAGACTATCAAAGAAAAAATAATTATTTATGATCAAATTATATCGAATTGCACGACACCTTATTTTTAATTGAAACCAAAAAGAGGTACATCACACTAAAAAAATTAATATTTTATATAAAACCAAAAATAATTATTTATGATCAATTTAAGACGTATTTATTTTACCTTTAGTTCAAGTGTAAACTTTTCCAGGTCAATTTTCATCTGCCGCACTTGTGGTTGCAATCGTTGCACCTCACTTTCGAGGGTGACCTGTCGCTGTCTTAATTCGCTTAGTTCTTTTTCTTGTTCTAACAATTCTGATTCCAATTTTTTCACTTGCTTTGGATCTATGTTGGAGGATACGTTTATAGACTGTCCCATTCTTCCGCGCAGTTTCCTACCACCTCCGCTCATAGTTCCTAAACAAGAATAACACAAATTCAAATACAACAGTTTTTACATGTTACGATTACGATAAGTACCTGATGTTTCGATTACATCCCCTTGGACAGTAACAACACGAAATCTTTGAGCCCCATATGCAATTCTTGTCGCTTGTTCCAGATCTTTGGTCACCAAAGTATCCCTCAGGGCGTAGTAAAACGCCGGCTTAACCCTTTCGTCCTGAACACGAACCAGGTCGTAAAGACGAGGCACATTTTCGGGTCTACGAAATAAAAAATAATTATAAATCATCGACACTTAATTGGTCCTGAATGTACGTTTTAATTCTTGTGATAGCCCTTTCTCTTAGATGTTCCTGCTTGTCAAGGGCAATAAATGTTGCCCTCCCTATGTCGTGGCTCTTTAAAAATTCAATGCACCGTTGCGCTGTCTCCACTGTATCCACGACTATGTTGTCAAGGGGGCCACAAGCAGTCGATATTGCGATGTCGTATTCTGCATCAATTGCACCAAGATCGCCCTTAATTCATAAAGAAAAACAGTAAAAAATATTAAAAAACTAAAGAAAAGTTATGTACAAGCCGTCCAAATAATCCAGGACATTTTCCTTCTCGCTTCAGCTGAACGAGGGAGTCTAAGACTCGGCCCTTAGATCGTGATGCTTGCATGGCAGATTTACTTTCTTCCACTTCCGCCCTTTTATTTCTTAAACTGTTGATTAGTTTTGTTTCGCGGTTCTTGATCCTGTTTAGTTCCTCCATAGCGCTTTGTAAAGACTTTTCTGACGTCGGAATTTTCTTTTTTAATTCAGCAACAGCCCGAGCCCTTTCATCAACTAATTGCTCGCTCTTTTCGTATTGTTCTCTCAAGTTTTCGTATTTTTTCGACTCTGTTTCTTCGCCACTTAAGTATATTTTTAATTCGGATTTGGCTAACGTGTACTAATTAAAATTAAAATATGTTAAAATTAAACAGTTAATAATTAATTAATTTACCGGTTCNCTAACATTTACCCCTTTAAAAAGTTTTAAAAAATTACGCGCGAAAAACACCAATTGTAAGTACATTTTAAAAATTAATTAAACAGTAATTATTTTAACTATAGTTGAATATGTGTATTGTTTAGTAGATTTACTATGAGTAACAACGTTCAAAATTTGTTAAAATTAAACAGTTAATAATTAATTAATTTACCGGTTCTTTCGTATCTGCGACGACTTTGTTCAGCTGTACTAAGTCTGCCTGCAGAACTTCCTTTCGATCCTGTAAGTCCTGAGTTTCAGCTCGTAAAGTTGAAAGAACTTTCAATTTTTCAGCTTCAAGTTTTTCTTTTTTAGCAGACAGTTCTGCTTCCTTTGCTTCACATTCTTTTATCGTCTTTAAAAAGGAGTACATTAAATAAGATATTTTTTACAGAAAGACTAAGTGGCTCACCTCAAGATTTTTTTCAGGGGCTTGTTCATATTCCTGTAATTTTTTGCGTTCTTGTGCCAGAAGTTCTTTGGTCTTCTTTCGTTTCAGGTTGGTTTGTTGCATGGTGGCTTGCAACTGCATATCTTTGCTACTTGCTTTTTCAAAGGCCTCTTTTAAACTGTCTCGTCGTTTCTCCAAACCCTCATATTTTCTAAAAAACAAGCAATTAATTATTTAATCTAGATATAAAATTTAGCAATCTAACTTTGCCCCTTGGTTTAAAATTTCTTGCTTCTCGTCCTTTAATTTTCGAAGTTTGTTCAGTTTTTCAACAACTTCGTTGCAAGCTTTTTCTTCTGCTTCTTTACTTGAATTCAATTCTTCAATTTTTAATTCTAGAACTTGGCTGAAACAAAATAATTAATTTTTATTAACAAAGAATTATTAATTGGCTAAATTTCCTTACATATTTTTTTGGTAGATTATGCTTTTCGAGTATGTTACTGCATTTTCCAATTTTAAAAATCCAACGGCTTCTTCCATTGGTTTCTTCAGTTCCTTTAGTTCATTTTCTACCAGTTTTACCCGATTTAGTTTTTCACATTTCTGTTCTGTCAACATTTCCTCTCTTTCTTGAAGCTGCACCAAAGGTTTCTACAAAATAAGAATACAATTTTTTAAACAAAGCATCCTTTATTTTATAGAAACATGCCTTAAAACGAGATGTGCCTATAATATCTTCCAAATATTCCAACAAACCAGTTTCATGTTCATTTTCTGATTTTGGTTTCATTAATGATATTTGCTCAACTTCTCCCTTAAAAACGTTTGTGAAATATTAGTTAACAAACCAAAAAAATAATACCGAAAAAATACCTGCAATATCAGAAACCTATTATGATCTAAATCAACACCATGCTCCCTTAAAAGTGTAGCAACTTCTTTAAACTGCACACGACGGTCGTTAATTTGATAATAAGAGGAATTATCAATTTTAGCTGTACGTGATATCACAAATTCACTGTTAGGAATTATTTCATATGCATCTTCATCATCCTGCAAGCTTCTAATAAATTACAAAGTTTAAAAAGTGACTTTGTCACTTACTATGTTGTCTTTGATAACAGCAAAATGTACTGATACTGTACAAGATTCCACATTTCTGTAGTGCTCAGATTTGTGCAGTAAAACAGACAATTTCTTTGACCTTATCTTACTGGCTCGATAACCAAACACAAATAACATTGCATCAATTACATTACTCTTGCCACTACCGTTGGGTCCAACAACAGCATTAAAACACTAAAAATAGTTCAACTGTTATATACAATTGTACTGTGGAGAAGCTACATTACCTTATGAAGGGGGCCGATGACTTGCTTCTCAGCATAGCTTTTGAAGAATTGATTCTCGATTTTTGTTATTATCAGACGAGGAACATTAGCATCAGAATTTCTTACTGTCCTCGGAGGGGGTGGAATATAAATATCATCTAATCGAATTCCTCCTTCTTCGTAAGATCGTTCCAAATCTTCTTGTTCACTATCAGCTGAATCACTGTCGTTGGCTTTGCGTTTTTCGGATCCCTTGGACATTTTAAAAAGATATCAATAGCTTCAGTACAACATTAATACACCTGTTACTTTTTTAAATAATTAAAATCAAATTAAACCACCAGACAATCACAATACAACGACCGTTATTTTATTTGACATTGGCTGTCAAAACGTTTTCAAATTTAAAACAGAATGTGGCTACACTACCGTTATCGGTGATGGAAAAAATAAAATAAATTTAACAAACAATTAAATAATAAATAATTATTATAAATATGGCCCACTACAGTAAATTATACATCGCTAACAAATATTTCCTTTAATTATCATGTATTAAT